TTATTCCATTTGGGATTATAAAACGGTTATTTTCTAATTCTATCATTCATGAAGAGCCACAGATCTCCTCCTGCACTTTATGTAGCTGGGCAAATGTCCCTCCCTGACTGCCAGGAAACTGGAGGTTTGTTCTCTGAAGAGAGTAAAATAGTGGCCTGGAGGACACCAGTTACGATTGAGGGCACGCATGTGTAACGCAGTGAAAATGATGTTTGAGTGAGTGCATATAGAATCCCGAGACTCTCCACACTTTCCCCAACCACGTGACTCCAGGAGGTTGGAAGAAAAATGATACAAAAAATTTAATATTTAACCATCTGTTAGTATGGATACCTATAACAAGGAAAATACTAGTAATTCAATAGATTTTTATAATTTAAATTTTGAATCTTAATAGAAGCATATTGTAGAAACTGTAAAAAGTTCGAGTATACAGTAAAAAAAAAATACGTTTCCCTCTTATCCCTGTGCCCTGGCCATTGTGCCGCCTCTCTTCTTAGACACAGCCACTCTTCCCAGTTTCTTATGCTTTTTTCCAGATACATGGGCCTGAGGGATGAAACAAGGCTTCTCTGCAGCAGGGCATGGGGGTGGGGGGGAGAGCAGGACTTCCTCAATATGTGATCAAGCCAAACACAAACACTCTACAGAAACATATCTGGGCTAACCATATCCGAGTCAAAAAGCAGGATGGCAGTAGGATCTTAGTAATTTGTGGGAACAATTTTAGCAAAGCTAAAAATGCCATGAATATTTATCACAAGTACGATCATTTCTCGGTTAAAAAAAAGTCTTTAACTAATTCAATAAATATTTATTTATTTTTATTATTTTTTAAAATTATTTTTATTGATTTCAGAGAGGAAGGAGAGGGAGATAGAAACATCAATGATGAGAATCACTGATCGGCTGCCTCCCGCACGCCCCCTACTGGGGATCGAGCCCACAACCTAGGCATGTACCCTTGACCAGAATCGAACCCGGGACCTTCAGTCTGCAGGCCAATGCTCTATCCACTGAGCCAAACCAACTAGGGTCAATAAATATTTATTAATGGCTATTAGGTATCAATATAAATTTCCAGTATGACACTTATGGAATCAAGGTTTTATGAATAATTTGTCAGACTTAAATAACCACACAATTTTATACATGATTATTACCATTTGTATACTATGTGAACGTGATCTAGTTCATTTTTCAATTATTTTTCACCATTTAAAATAAACAAATTCAAATTTTATTTTAAAATAGAATTTATTGCATGTCATAGTGAATTCAATACATTAAAAAAAGTTTTCTTGTCAGTATTGGCACATAATGAAGAGTTTTAAAGTACTGCTAAATTAACACTTCAAAAAATTTTAAATCATGTTCCATAAAAAAATAAAGCCTAATAGTGTTATAAAGTATTAATTTACACTAACTTACATATCAAAGTGTTTAAAAAAAGAATTCCACACTAAAACCAATAATCTAAGAAGTAAAAATTCAATCATATATTTTTAAAAAGGTTCTCATTTAAACAAAATACAACAGAAGGTATAAAATAGGCAACAACTACAAAATTTACATTGACTTGTTCTGCTGGGAAGTCCTGCAATCTAACCAGATAAACTTTGGATATTTTTTAAAATCCATATTCCAAAAGAATGTTGTTTACAACACTCTATGCCCAATTAAAGAAACATACGATGACATTAAGTATTCTACAGTTTTCTTTCAGTTTCCACTTAATTGCCATGATTACAGGACTCTTCTAAAATTTTAGTTTTAAGAAATCATTTTCCTCCATGATCATCTTCATAGACACAAAGGCTGTTCTGAAGTACAGAAACATTAAACAAGGCAGTTCACATATATGGCCTTCACTATAATATGGCCTGTATATTACTCTATCAATCTCATTTTGTTTACTCTAAAAACTCAGTAATCCAAATCATGAGTATTACACAATTTCTTTCAAATTCCAAAAAGTTGAGTAATTTGATTCAGATCTTTTGAATTTACAGAATATCTTTCTTTCAGGAAGCATAAAGTCATTTATATTCAGTACTTTGACTTTATTTACATTTCTTACCCCAACCTGTTTAGAATTAACTTCTGAGGGAAAAATATCACTGAAAATAAAAATTTTAAACTGTAGAATTTGTTATTTGATATCATCTTGAGTAAATTCAACTCTTTTCCTTGTTAATAGAAAAATATAAAGCCTTTCAAACTAGTACATTGCACCAGTCTGAAATGCAATTCCTATGTTTTTGAAATCTCATTGGTTGAGATCAGGCTAAAATTTTAGAGATCAAGCTTAAATAAATTAGTTTAAATACTTTTTTAGTCAAATGTAAAAATGTCTGCTTATACCTAAGGAAAAAATTGAAAGAGCAAAAGAAAACTAGAAAGCTCATTTGTATTTAATATAAATGTATCATTTTAACACAATCTCTATGGACATTGAACTAAAATCTATGAATGCCAACTGCAGATGGGTTAATATTTTCTTCTTTCTAAAAAGAAATAAACTGTGGATTTTACTAATAAGGTATTGCTAATCTAAAGAGAAAATACAAGCTGGAATATAATGTATTAGAAATAGCAAGGTTTTCCTCACAAACCGAATTATCTTTGCTGAAATAAACTGAAGTAAAAACTCATTACAATTTGAGATATTTAGTGATTAATGTTTGATAAGCTGCAAAAATGTTCACAGAGAATATCTAAGAAGTAACAATTTTTTCAATAAGTAATAATATAGGATATAGTATTGTTTTTAAGACATATTTAGGAAAAAAACCAACTTATCTTCTCCTCAAAGTAACCGGTGATGGGAAGGCAAGAGAGGAAGAAATAATAGAGCCTTTTAAAGACAAATTCTCATCTCCCCTACGCTTTGTTTACTTTGATCCCTAAAATAAAATATTTTTGTACTTTATTGTAATTTCTCTAAATATTTTCAGCAGGGTTGGTAGAAGAATTATTTAAGTATAATGTGAAGCTGACACTGAGGATGGAGAAACTTAAGGAATTTCCCTGTTTCTTTCTTATTTCTATTTAATCAGTAAGATTTTAATAGCAAACTAGAACAAAATTTTACCTCCTTGATAGTTAATGGTTGGATACAGTAGAATGTGTATCAAAGAACTAAAATTTCGTATTTATAGATTTAAATTTTCTTTAACATTTTTCATAAAATGTGGTTGAGGCTTTTGAATATCAAAAAGCTGGGATGAGAATGCAGATAATTTTACTAAAAAAGATGTATTTTGGCAAACATTTTATTGATATTAAAAACGAAAATATAGTTGGACCTTTAAAATGGCTTCACCTGTTCTATCAGCATCTGCCAAATAAATTAGATTCTTTGGAAAAAATTCAAACTTGATATATTATGGAGACAGAATGAAGAATAACCCTTACTGGTCAGATACTTACTTGTCATTTACCGAAGGATCCCTAAGTGTATTAAATGGACAGAGGGCTGTCAAGGGAGCTTCTCTTATCTGCTATTTACTCAGCAAAAGTTAACAAACAGAAGCATCTAATTCCCTCAAATGCTAAATTTAGTTCAAATACCAAAGCTCTCATCCATTTTAAAAGGCATTAGATTTATATTTTAACCAGCTGAACTGGCCTTAGAATGAAAGAGCATAGAGTGGCTCACATATCTTGTGTATTACTTGTAGAGAATGCAAAATTCCACTGCCTTTGGAATTACTTGTCATTTGGAAATTTCTTAGAGAATGAGAGAGAAAAAAAAGGAAAGATAATATGACCTCTGACTTCCAGGAGAATGTTCAAGGTCACAAGCAAAGCAAAGAATGAGAGTTTTTTTTTCAAGTTGTAAGGTACTAGAGTGGTTAATTGGTCTAACCCAACAATTTTCAAGCAGTGTGCTACACACTGGTGTGCAGCAAGAATTTTTAAAACATGTAATATTGACTATTTAGTCAGGGGCACTGACCTCTTTTCCCTTAGATTGTCAAATAAATAAATGATAACAGCCGACACAATAGCTGTCCAGTGTGAATGAATCAAAATTATACCTATTTTTTTTGTCAGATTGGCAAATATATATTTTTTGGTGTGCTGCAGAATTTTAGTAATTAGTTTATGTGTGCCATGAGATGAAAAAGGTTGAAAATTGCTGGTTTAACCTACTTATTTTGCAGATGAGAAAACTGAGACATCAATGTCTTGCACTAAGACAATTTACTTACACTTCTGTAATGTAATTAAATTGACCCTAAAACCCAGTCTCCTCTCTTTTGTCTCTAATTCTTTGTTCTGAAGCACATCTGGTATATTAGTATACCATCCTCCACCAAAATATAAAAGGTTAGCTGTGGTTTCCTTTGGAGAAAGGAGTAGGAATTAAGATAGTGGCGGGGGGGGGGGGGGGGGGATTGTTAGGGATATGACACTCAAATGGTGAGCCATAGGTATTAATATGTAATTTTATACAAAATACTAAGCCTGAACATCAACAGAACCAAACTTCAGAGATCAGAAATACCATAGTGAAACTGAGTGTTACTGTACAAATTTAAGCTATACCTTCAAGGAAATAGCAGACCACTGAAAACTGTGGATGCCAGTTTTTGTATCCTTTTAATGACTAGTTCTATATATTATGTTTCCCTATACTGGGAAAAATATTATAATACTAAACATAGCAATTTGAAGCAATTCAGGTTCTCAAGTTTAAAAAAGGAATGGTATTTTTTTTAAAACTTATGCTATAAAAATATTCTCAGATTATATTTATTTAACTTCTGCAGTTTCTGGAATTTCATTATGGAACTTCCTTCTTGCATGATCTTTACCAAATTTCTATGGAGCATAAAATTTTCATAATTCTTTTCAGTAAAATCTGTTCAGGAACTCACTTGGGCAGAAATACTTTTACCTATCATTAGAGTTGAAAAGAAATAGATTTCAGTAAGAAAAATACAGGGATGGATCAAGACTTTTTTTTAGAAAAATATACTGTATATAATACATTTTGAAAGTTATACAGACCATATCCTTTTATTTAATGTGAAGGCACAACTTTAACATAGTTAAAAGCAAATGTATTTTAATTACTTATGACATAATCGACAGTACCAGCTCTTAAAAATGTATATTTGCAAGCATATCATTGAAGATTCTTTCAGATTGTCAGTTCAAAAAGCAAAACTCTTTTGCAGAAAATCAATTGAAACATTATGGCAGGTCCACATAATATTACTGTTGGATAATCTGTTCACCAGCAGCCACAGGGTTTTCTTCATTTGGTGCATAGTCCGGCTGGTCCATCATCTAGGCATAAAGATGTGAGAAAATACAAATTTTCAACTTGCACTCAATATTGTCCAATTTGGCAAAAAGGATTCCCAATTTTTTTTTAAAGAAAGTTTTTTCTCTTTATTTTTAATTGATTTCTTTTAGGAGAAGAAGGAGAGCTAGAGATAGAGCTAGAGAGAGAGAAATATTGTTCGGTTGCCACTGAACCCGAAACCTGGGTATGTGTCCTGACTGGGTATCGAAACTGACACCTTCTGGTGTACAGGATGACACTCCAACCAACTGAGTCACCGACAGGGCGGATTCCCAATTTTTAAAAATGACTCAGAATGCTCTATGGAACTGAGTATTCCTCTTGGAGCAATGTACTGGTTCAACATCCACGCTCCTAAGATATGGTCAAAGTGACAATGAAGCCTCCTTCCACAAGCCTAATCATTGGACTCAGGGCCAATGTGATAAATGCTTTCTCTGGATCTTCTACTATTTCCATTTCCCTCTGTGGATACTGCCCTACATGGCAGTAGGAGCTCCACCACAAAAGGGAGATATTCCTGATGCTTTTCCAGGACACAACTGCAGGTAGTGCCCACTCCTAGAAGTGGCAAAACTACAAGTGGCCCCACAACTCACTGTGAGACGACCTGCTGGTTTGGGCACAATGTAACCTGGATGACACCTTGAATTGACCTTAAGATAATTTAAAAATGATAGGTGAGCCCTGGCCAGTGTGGCTCAGTTGGCTGGACATTGTCCCATGCACCAAAAGGTTGCCAGTATGATACTCGGTCTGGGCACATGCCCAGGTTGTGGGCTTGATCCCCAGTGGGGTTGTGCAGGAGACGATCGATGATCAAAGTTCCACTCTCACAACAATGTTTATCTCTCTCTCTCCCCCTCTCCCTTCCTCTCTCTCTCTCTCTGTCTCTAAAAACAAATAAAAAACAAATACAGTATTTTTTAAAATGATATGTGAAATTTTAGAAACACTGTATGATAAAAATTTCTACTAAAAGCAAATAACTTGAAGGTACTTAAAGGTCAAATGATACCATAAAATAAAATCAAGAATACATTTGCTGCCGAAACCGGTTTGGCTTAGTGGATAGAGAGCGTCGGCCTGCGGACTGAAAGGTCCCAGGTTCGATTCCGGTCAAGGGCATGTACCTTGGTTGCGGGCACATCCCCGGTGGGAGATGTGCAGGAGGCAGCTGATCGATGTTTCTCTCTCGTCGATGTTTCTGACTATCTCTCTCCCTTCCTCTCTATAAAAAATCAATAAAATATATTAAAAAAAAAAAAGAATACATTTGCTATAGACTAATTTTAGAGGAATTATCAGTTAAACTTTTCTCAAATGATCACTTCAGCTCTGCCTATATTCCCATGAAAATCTTTCTATATTTGGGAATGAAGGAAGAAAGTGTTTAAATGTTTTTTGTGTTTTTACTCAGTTCTTCAGATAAAATTACTTTAAAATGGAAAAAAATAATGTCTTTGTGAATATTGTCAAAGATTTTTAGGTAAATGATTAAAATTTCAGTATTGGGATATACTTTTTTGCCTTCTCTTTTATCAAGAAATAGAAAATACCAGCAAGATAGTGTTCCTGTTTTTGTAAACTGATCCCAAAAGCTTTAGTGTTTTTTTGGAAGAGGAGGTAAAGAGAGGAATAATTCCCAAATGGGGTCTCAGGACTTGCCAGGCAAGAATAAGCCAGAACTAAGGCATTTAGCTGACAACTATCTCAAGTAATGGAGACAGCTTATACAGCCCACACCTGCCGATAATCTCTGAGCCATCTCAAGTCCCCAAACTATCAGTTTTGAGGTCCTTCTATTTGCCAAACACAACCCCCAGATGAAGGTAGTTACATGTTTGCAGCCCTTCGAGGGGGGAAAAAAAGCCAAATCAAAACAGGTAGCATATTTATTAAAAGCATTTCACTTCATGAAACATAAGGTGAAGTTGTTGAAGAGTTGATTTTAGTCATAATTTAAATGAAGGAGGGGAAGGAGAAGCATGTAAGATATATTTAGCCCCTCTTCCTTCTAAAAATGTAGAAGCTCTGGGTATAAGACGTTGGAGCTGTAGGGGGAAAGAGAACGGAAGCAGCCTCAATAGAATGGATGGGCAGAAACCCCAAGACCTGCTGACTCTGGCAACTGTAACCTAATGAAATAATAGCCTACATACCCTAAGTTATAACATGCTTCTTTCCCCCCTAATTGGCACTTTAATCCCTAAATATAGAAATATATTACTTTTGAAAAAACACTTTCACAGATCAACTTATTCAGAAGTAAATATCTCTATTCTGTATTTACTTTTCTTTACTGACTTCTCAATAAGAAAATACTATGCTAAGCTAAATAAACCAATCAGAGAAAGGTAAGTATCACATGACCTCACTCATATGTGGAATCTAATGAAAAAAATAAACTGGTGGACAAAACAGATCCAGAGACACAGAAGCATGGAACAGACTGATGAATCTCAGAGGGAAGTCAGAGGGTGCGGGTAGGAGAGTGGGGAGAGATTAACTGGAAAACTTAAACGCATGGACACAGACAATAGCGTAGTGAAGGCCTGGGAGGGGTGGGTGCCAGGTGGAGAGGGTCAATGGGGAAAAAAAGGGGGACACCTGTAATACTTTCAACAATAAAGATAAACTTTTAAAAAATCTATATATGTATATATAAAACAAAAACAATATAGAAACATCATTTACTGATAGCTCTGCTTATTTATTTAAAAATATATTTTTATTGATTTCAGAGAGGAGGGAGAGAGAGATATAAAGAAACATCAATGATGAGAGAGAATCATCGATCAGCTGCCTCCTGTATGCCCACCCTCACTAGGGATCGAGCCCACAACTCAGGCATGTGCCAATTGGAATCCTGATTCATAAGTCGATGCTCAAACACTGAGCCATGCTGGCCGGGCTAGCTCTGCTTATTTATAGATGATCCAGGCTCCAGAAACAGTCTAATAAAACAATCATTAAAGTGGGGTAACTGGAGAGTTGTTGACACTAAAGCGAAGTTGTTCTAAGTAGCTCTACTCTCACTTGTCAGTCACAGCTTGTGGCTTCTAAAAATAATTAGAAGCACTAGTGATATTTAACAGAGACAATCCCATTGTTTGCTGATTATCAACAAACTGAAAACTTACTTCCCATCTAGAGTAAAATTGCCCATTGGAGGTGGTTGCAGAAATCTAACTCCAGCCCTGGCCCGTGTGGTCAGCAGTTAGAGTGTCGGCCTATGCACCGAAGGGTCTCAGGGTCGATTCATAGTCAAGGGCATGTACCTGGGTTACAGTTTCGATCCCTGGCAGTCATGGCTCATGTGGGAGGCAACCAATCGAAGTGTCTCTTTCATATTGATGTTTCTCTCCCCCTCCCTCTCTCCTTCCCACACTCTCTAAAAATCAATAGAAAACATATCCTCAGGTGAGGATTAACACAAAAACGAAAAAAATCTAACTGCAATGATTTAAGAATAGAAATAAACAAAAATACCCTAAAATGATGGTTTCTCTCAATTGTTTTATGTGCCAAAGTAAGTATGCCACTGCTGATTTCTCTCCAGAGAAATGAACCTTTATTTACACTAATTAGATCTTAGACTGAGTATAACTAAATGTATGAAACCAAATACTGTACTCTTGAAGCATTCTAGAAAAAAATTTCATAGAAGATAGTGATAAATAGCTTTGAGCTATAGAGAATACAATTAAGATTTCCAAATTAGTATTATTTTAGAGATATCCTATAGAAATGTTACTATTTTTTATTGATTTTAGAGAGAGAGGAAGGGACAAGGAGGGAGGGTGAGAGAAAGACAGAGAAAGAGAAAGAGAGAGAGAGAGAGAAGCATCGATGTGAGAAACATTTCCTCAGTTGGCTGCCTCCTGCATATATCCTGACCTAGCATCAAGTCTACAACCTGGACATGTGCCCTGACCGGGAATAGAACTGGCGACCCTTTGGTGCACAGGATGATGCACCAAATCAATCGAGCCACGCCATCCAGGGCAGAAATGTTACTTCTTTTGATCAGAGAAACTCATGGAAAGGGCTGAGAGACTACAAGTAAAATACTAAAGTATTTCTATGAAGTCTCTTATGTTTCAACAAATGAGGTATACTTTGCCCTTTGAAAACAACATAAACTTTTGGCACTTGGGGAGGGTGCTGGAAGAGGGGATAGGGGACATCAATGCTGATGAATGAGACTTGATTTAGGCTGATGAACACACAATACAGTGTACAGATGATGAGGTATAGAATTGTGTACCTGAAACCTGTATAATTTTATTAACCAGTGTCACCCCAATAAATTTAATAAAAATAAAAATAAACTTCTGACACTTGCAAAAAATGATTATATATAAAGATTGTAGACATGTAAGTCTAGTTTAATGTTTTAAAAGTGTTTCACTATTATAATATCTCATAACAATTTTGGTAATTTTATGAGGTCTGCTAAAACACAATCAGGAATCTTGTACACACACAGAAATGAGTAAAGGTCATTGGATTAAAGACTGAACATTATAGCTGTTTTGCATGAAGAATTTCAATAACATTAACTGAGAATGTACAGTGTATAAAATACTGTTGTCAGCACCAGAGGCTCTTAACACCTAGGAGCTAATACCTTAATGAGGGAGGCATACATAAATATCTGCACTGCAAGGCCTGATGTTAGTAAGTATTTAAAGTACAATTAAAAAAATATGAGGAAAAGTGACTTAATTTCAATTGGAGAACCCTTAGATATATGCTTGGAGAAAGGAGATTTTGAGTTGGGAGTTATATAGGGATATTCTGGAAACAGACTGGCAATGCTGTAACGACAATGAAAGTTAGGAGAGGAGGGAAAGGAGCATTATACTGTTAGCCTAAGAGATGAGCCAGTAAAGGCCTGCGGATGGTCTTCAGCGCTGGCCCTCAGGCCTGTCTTACACTAGGTCCACACCTAGTCTCCTCCCTGTTTCATCAGGCT